TTTTATTTTTACCCTGTTTTATTCTATGCAATTCTTCAAGAGAATTTAAATAATGTCTGGCAGGGGTATAAGTAAGCAAACAAATAAGTAGAAAGCTTAGTGCATATAATGTTTGCCTACACAGTCAGCATTCAGAAAAATCCAAAATAATAATTTAATCAGCCTGGATGGAGGTATAAATCTGGCAGAGAATTTCTGTAAAGCAGTTGGTAGATATGAATTACCAGCCTTTACAATGTTCATATGCTTGGGCTCTGGAATTCTAGAAATTTATCCTAGTATGAAATAATGGGAGGTGTGGATAAAATTTAGGTATGAAATAATTATTCTAGGATTATTTTTAATAGCAAAACTAAAAGCAATGAAAGGTCTTGCAATAGGATAAAGGTTAAATCAATTATAGTATACCTCAATTTTAAATGCAATCATTAAAAGCAAGATTTTCAAAGAATTTTTATGCCAGAGGAAAGTGCCCTCTTTAGCATGTTTGTAAAAAAGCAGAATCCACATGATTCCAATTATTATACGCTTTTTAAAAGATCAGGGGCATAGTTAGCAACTGATAACCCTAGGAAGTTATATTAAAGGTCATTGTTATATATCTTTTTTATATATTATTGTTCTATATCATTATTCTATATGTATATGTTTTTATATATATATTATATATAAATATTATATATATAATATATATACTATATATATATCATTGTTATATACAGACCTGGAAAGATAGCATAGTGGAGAGAGCAGGAGTCTTACTCTCAAATTTGCCTGGATTCAAATACCAGTTTCTTACTTTTAGTCCCTGTGATTATAAACAAGTTCTCATCCACTCTGAGTCTCAGTTTCATCATCAAGAACGCTTTCATATAAAGCTGGAATGAGAGTAAAATTTAATGACACATTTAAAATGCCAGCAAATAATGGACATTAATCAATATGGATTAAGTTCCTGACCCTTTGCCCCCCACCCCTTGCTTTCATTCTCACCCAGGATCAGAATACTTTCAATGGAAAGTAGCTTAAACAGCAAGAAGTCCTGGGACAGCGCAGCCCCAGTTGGTCAACACGGACCTTAGTGACACCATCTCTTTGCTCTGCCACTCTCAGAAGATAGCTCCCCTCATGGTCACGAGGTGGTTGCAGCAATTCCAGGCATCACATCCATTCAGGACAGCATTACAAGGAAGAAAAGACTTTCTCCTCCTGGGTATCTCTCTTAGAAGCAAGGAAATCTTTCTCAGAAGCCCCCAGCACACCTCCTCTTATGTCTCAGAGACCAAAATATGCCACATGCTCACTCCCAAATCAAGCACTGTCACTAGCTTAGATAAGAAAGTTTTGGACAGAAAATAGGGCTGGGGTCTCTGAAGCATATCCCAAGGTGCAGTACAGTAGATGCCTGAGCAAAATTGGTGTCTTGATCAAGAAAGAAGGGGGCAACGGGTGTAGGGCAGATTGTTCAACGCCGTGTCTGCTACACTCCCAGCTGTAGGAAGCCTTGTCTGGTGTAAATTCCAAAAGGAGAGACTGAGTTAACCAGCTGGAGATGTGGGGTGGGAATGTAGACGGGGGATACAGACAGGCAAATTGTCCAGGGTAGACTCTTAATTGGGGTGAAAGGGCCTGATGACAAAAAGAGGAGCAAGAGGGCTCAGTAGACCAGCCTGACCGACTAGAGCATGTCCTGCTAGGGCGTAAACTGAGAGTGCAAAATCCAGAATAAACACATTACAGCCTGTGCTGGTATAAACCGCGGTGATAACAAACATGGCCTCATTTGAAATGAACTCAGATGGCTGTGCTTATGTGTCATGGGTGTCTGCAAAGGAGTGGTGGGCTTTCTGACCGTGTAGATGTGGAGAATACAATTCCTGAATCTTCTATTCAATCAACAATAAATACATTTCGACCACCTACCATATCTCCAGCCGTAAACTAACCCCTGAAAAAAATAAAAGACATATTATAAGACTCAGAGTCTGACTTTGAAGAATTTAGACTCCGCTGGAGGAGTCAAAAGTAACAGAAGCAAAGTCTAGAGAAATACCTCGGGCTAACGGATGTGGTGCAGAGCAGAATTACAGCAAGAACTCAACAAAGTTGGGAGAGAGATGGCTGAGGGGCAGGATGCAGGAAGGGACTTGAGCTGGGAGTAACTCCGCTAGGTCAAGATTGGGGTTAGGGCAGACAGAAGAGCGAGCCATGGGGTTAGGGCAGACACGAGCGAGCCATGGGGATGGGAGGGAGGATGATAACAAGGAGACGCCTAGGACAAGTGTGGAGCCCTTCTTTTGGGGGAGTGAGAAAGTATTTGAATATGGAGGGTGGGGCTACAGGGATTGAATTTCCTGTGTTAGGCCTGGTGGGTTCCTGCTAAGTTCCAGAGTAGAAGACCTTAGAAGGAGGTGCCTGGCTGTGGTCATGAGAGATTTGCTCTGTTTGGGGGCTTTTTCATGAAGACAAGCTGAGCCACGTGTATGGGATGGTGTATATGCACATTCTTTTTTTTTTTTTTAACCATTTAAACTTTGTATTCAGGCACTTTCTTTCCTTTGACAAGAATCCCATCAGCAGCCTGGCCAGAGACAATGTCCAAAACAAGTCTGAGTGGAAAGGAAACAGGCTTTGAAGCCAGAAAGACTTTTTTTTTTTTTTAATTAATTTATTTTTGGCTGTGTTGGGTCTTCATTGCTGCACGCGGGCTTTCTCTAGTTGCGGCGAGCCGGGGCCACTCTTGGCTGCGGCACACGGGCCTCTCATTGCGGTGGCTTCTCCCGCAGCGGAACACGGGCTCCAGGTGCGCGGGTTTCAGCAGTTGTGGCACGCAGGCTCAGTAGTTGTGGCTCGCGGGCTCTGCAGTGCAGGCTCAAGAGCTGTGGCGCATGGGCCCAGTTGCTCCGCGGCATGTGGGATCCTCCCAGACCAGGGCTCGAACCCGTGTTCCCTGCACTGGCAAGCAGATTCTTAACCACTGCACCACCAGGGAAGCCCACAGAAAGACCTAATTAAAGGTCGAGCCTGACCACTCATTAGCAAATTACTTCATCTTTCAAAAAGAGTTTTTTCCAGCTGTGGACTGAGCATAATACACACCTCATAGCATTCTTACAAGGGAAGCTCCTGGTACATAGCACTCAAAATATTAATTCTTTCCCTTCCTCTTTTTGTTTATCAAAACTATTAATAAAGCAAAACTTCCAATGCTTGATTTTATATAATAATGTCATGTAGCTACTTCAAAACTATCTCATCCGTAGACACCCAGGGCAGGGGAAAAGTTTTGTGTCTTTTTTTTTTTTTTTTTTACTTTTTGGCAGCACCATGCAGCACGTGGGATCTTAGTTCCCCGACCAAGAATCAAAACCTCACCCCCTGCAGTGGAAGGGCGGAGTCTTAACTGCTGGACCGCCAGGGAAGTCCCTGAGTCTATCTTGATTTTAAAAATTAGAAATTCCTATCAAATTTTAGAACTTTTTTCCTTAAAATTGTTTTAAACACAAAGTAATACAATTTATCCATACAAGATAAATATTTTTATGCTCTTTATGAACTTTAATTTGTAGTTATTTTTTTAACTTTTAAATTAAAAAATCATTACAAATTCATCGGAAAAAAGAAGGAGGCTCAAACAGAGGTGAGGGGGAGGATGAATGGATTCCTGTAGTGTGAGGGTGTGAGACATTCACTTTTACTTCAGCGTTCAAATTTTCTAGAAAGGATATTATTGCTGTTTATACTTTAAAAATAATATATTTTTTAATTAAAAAAAATATGACTCTCCCACTTTTACTCCCCTCAGACCAACCCTGGGCAATTAGCAAGCAGTACGTTCGAGGGAGTGGACAGCTCCTGTGATACTGCAAGGTGTGCAGGATAAGGCCAAGGGGAGAAGGTGGTCGGTGTGATAAAAAGAGGAATATGTGTCTATTTCAAACTGTGCCCTCCACCTTCAAAAAGGAAAATACCACTTATCATTCCTTCAGTCAAAAGGCTTGTTTCCCAGCTCTTTCCCCAGGAGGAAAAATCCCAGATTCTTATAAAAGAAAAAGAAGAAAAAGAAAAGAAAACCTAGAAGGTCAGAAACAAAACTGAAAATGGTTATTTGAAAGAGTGGTGGGATGATGGGTGAATATTTTTCCTATGTTTCATTTCCATCATCGTCATATTTGTGCTGTAATGAAGGTTAAGAGTCATCTGATGAAGACCATGCCCTTTTGGAGGATGTGGATGTGTGTGGATTTGTGTGTGGATGTGTGTATACTGTGTATACATGGATGTGAGTTTGGAATTATGTATTGTGTGTGAACCTGTGCGCGTGGAATGTAGAGTCTGTGTAGAGACTGCAGTGTATGTGTGTGAGGACTGTGGATGTGCATGGAGTGTGTGCATGAGAGACAAGGTGGGTGTGTGAGGGGTGTGGGTGTGTCTTTTTCTTTTCCTCCTGAACCAAAAATTTTTTTAATTAAGTTTCTAGTGCATACGAAAATTTTTCATAACACATGACATATAAAGATGTTAGCACATTGAACTACAATAGAAAACATTTTTATCCAACTTTTGAATCATTAATATGCTTATTTCTCCTGTGAATGAATGCAGCTAGCTTAAATCAACTTTGTCACGGAGTATCAAGTAGGTTTAAAACGTGGGGCTAGGGTTGAGCGCGTGTAACCTGGAAAGTGTGCACAGTGTGACGTGTACAGTTTGGAGTGGGATGGAGTGCGAGAGAGCGAGCCTGGATGTGTGAAGAGTGGTGTGAGGTTGTGAGCGTGCAGTGGCGTATGTATGAACCTGTGTGTGTGTAGAGTGTGCACAGTGCATGCGGAGTTGGGAGTGTGTGTGTGGTAGGTACGCGGAGGGCGGTCGCGCGTGAGCCCCCCGCCCCTCATCCTTCCCCTCTTCTCTCCCCCCGCCCCGGCCCCGTCTGCGGCGGCGAGAGCGCGCGGCGCCGGGAAGGCCGCCCCTCCGCGGAAGGCGGCGGGTGAGCGGGGGAGGGCTGGGCCGGGCGTCCGGGCCGGAAGCGCAGCGGTCCCGGCGGGGCGGCCGCGGACATGTGCAGGATGTCGTTCAAGGTGAGCGCCGCGGGCTCCGGGAGGGAGCGCCGGGCGGGCGGCAGACCTGCGGCGGCGGGGCCCGCACCCACCGTCCGCCCGGAGCCGCCGCGGGCCCGCAGGGAGGGGTGGCCGCCGCCCCGGCGGGGCTGGCGGGGGACGGGAGGGAGCGACCGGGCCTGGATGGCTCCTGTGGTTTGTGGTCTAGGGGTGCGGTTTTTGCCCGAAAGGCTTTCAGTACTTCTGGCTGCAGGTGCGGTGAGCCCGGCCGCGGGGCGCAGGGGCGGCGAGCACTGTCGCCGGGGTAACAGTCGGGCGGGGGTCGGGGAAGAAGCCCTGGGTCTGCGCTCCTCTGCGGCCGCCCCTCGCAGGAACCAGGGCTGCGGCACCGATGCCCGATCCTGCGTCCGCGTTCCCGAACGCCAGCCGCACCACTGCTGCCTCCTCCCCACAGGACTTTTTTTGACCCTGAAGCTGAATGACCAGCGCAGAGTGGAGCTGCGATTGATTACCAGACTTCAGTGTCCAAAGAGGTTATTAAAGTCATTCATTTAACGTCCACATTTTAGGATGAAAATGAGGTTCACTGATATGCCTCTATTGAAGGTTTTAATAAAAATAGTAGTTAAAATGTATTGAGCACATAAAATGTGCCCGACTCTGAACCAAGGGCATCATGGAGCATCTTCTGAATCCTCAGGAGGACCCACGAGATGGTACTTTGGTGCCCCCGACTTTTTTTTTTTCCAAATAAGAAAACTAAAACATGGAGAAGTTAAATAACTCCTCCCACAGCCGTGCAGCCAGTGTGTGAATGGTGTTCAGATTGAAACCCTGGTGTGTCTGGCTCCAAAGCCAGTGTAATCCCACCTCTTACAGTAGCTCATGTAAGCAGAGGAATGACACGGTGAGATTTGCATGTTAGAAAGATCTCTGGCTACGGTTTGGAGAAGAGAATGGAGCTGGGAGACCAGTCAGGATGATGCTGGGGTCATCTTGTTAAATGGTACCAGACTAGGGCACAGGTTTTGAGGATGGGAGGAAGCAGACAAATGTGTGACAAATTTTTTTTTTAATCAGCAGAATTCGGTAATTGATGTTATTCACTGAGTTAGGGAAGGCCAGAGGAGTAAAGACAAAATGTTTGGGGTGGGACATGTCAAGTTTAAGGATGGATAGGAGTCCAAGTAGAGATGTTGGTTAGACAGATGTACAAACCAGGAGCCCAGGAGAGTAGTCTAGGCAGGAGATAGAGATGAGATTTAGGAGTGAGCAGTGTTAAGTGGTCATTGAACCCTTGGGGATGAATGTGATTGCCCAGTGAGATCACGTAAAGGTAGAAAATAAGAGGACTGGGCTTCCCTGGTGGCGCAGTGGTTAAGAATCCACCTGCCAATGCAGGGTACACAGGTTCGATCCCTGGTCGGGGAAGATCACACATGCCACGGAGCAGCTAAGCCCGTGTGCCACAACTGCGGAGCCTGTGCTCTAGAGGCCGCGTGCCACAACCACTGAAGCCCGCGAGCCTAGAGCCCGTGCTCCGCAACAAGAGAAGCCACTGCAATGAGAAGTCCGCGCACCGCGACGAAGAGTAGCCCCCGCTCACCACAACTAGAGAAAGCCAACGCGCAGCAACCAAGACCCAATGCAGCCAAAATAAATAAATAAATAAATAAAATTTATTAAAAAATAAAAAAGAGGACTGAGGACAAAATCTTAAAGAAGCTCAAGATTTTAAGAATGAGCAGAATAAAGGAAACCTATTGAGAAAATGGAGGAGCAGACAGAAGTGTATGAGAAAAATCAGAAGCGTGTGCTATCATTAAGCCAAGAATCTGTAGTCTTTCCACAAAGGCAGAGAGGGCTGCAGAGTTAAATACCACAGAGAAATCAAACAAGCTTAGAATCGAAAAGTGCCTCTTGAATTTAGTAACAAAACAGGCTCTGGTGACCTTGCTGAGAGCAGTTTTAATGCAATGTTGAGTTCAGAAGCCAGATTGTAATAGCTTGAAAAGAGAGTGGGTGGAAACCACAAGTGGAGAGAACTCTCTCAAAAAATTCTGCGGGAACGGTGGCTGCAGCAGGAATCCAGACTTGGCCAAGGGTTTGTTTGCTTTAAAATGGTAGAGACTTTAGCATCTTTAAATGATAATAGACATCTCAACAATAAACAAGACAACCCAATTTTAAAATGGTCAAAGGATCTGAATAGACATTTCTCCCAAGGAGATATACAAATGGCCAATAAGCCACTGAAAGGATATTTTACATCATTAGCCAACCGGGAAATGCAAATCAAAACCACAATGAGATACCACTTCACACTCATTAGGATGATTACAGTCAACAAGACAGACAATGACAAGTGTTGGCAAGGATGTGGAGAATTTGGAACCCTCATACATTACTGGTAGGAATATAAAATGATGCAGCCATAATAGAAAACAGTCTAGTCATCCTTCAGAAAGTTAAACATAGAGCTACCATATGACCCAACAATTCCGCTTCTAGGTGTATATGCACAAGAAATGAAAACATATGTCAGGAATTTATATCTCACAGTGCTGGAGGCTGGGAAGTCCACAATCAAGCTGTTGGCAGGTTCAGTGTCTGGTGAGAACCCTCTTCCTACCTTGCAAACAGCCACCTTCTGGCTATCTCCTCAGAAAGGGGAGAGAAGGAGCTCTAATGTCTTCCTTTTCTTGTAAGGGCACTAACCCCACGATGGGGGCTCCACCCTCAGGACCTAATCTAAACCTAATTATCTCCAAATGCCCCACCTCCAAATATCATCACAATGAGGGTTAGGAATTCAACATAGTAACTTGGAGGGGGGAGGACACAGACATTCAGTCCATAACATGGTATATCCATGTAATGGAATATCATACAACCAACAAAAGGAATGAAGCACTCATACATAGCAACATGCATAGACCTTGAAAACATTATGTTAAGTGCAAAAAGCCAGACACAGAAGGCCATGTATTACATGGTTCCATTTATACAAAATGTCCAGAATAGGCAAATCCATAGAGACAGAAAGTAACTTAGTGGTTGCCAGGGACTGGGAGAAGAAGGGGGTGATGGGGAGTGATTGTTAATAGGTACGAGGTTTCTCCTGGTTGATGAAAATGTTCTGGAATAGTGGTGATGGTTGTGAAACCTTGAGATTAAACTAAAAACCACTGAATTATATGCTTTAAAAGGATGAATTTTATAGTATGTACATTATATCTCAATAAAAAAGTATTTTAAGATGACAACAGGGAGTGCTGAGAAGGCTTGCGCATGGAGGGGGTGATTGAGCTGAGTGCTGAAGTTCTCAGGAGGTGGGAGGGGCAGAGATATTGATATGTTGTAAAGTGAAGGCCAGGATGCGGTCAGAATTTGGGGTGGGCAGAAAGGAAGGTGCCAACATTTCCAGTGAAGAAAATGTTCATTTTCAGTGAAGAAAATGTCAGGAGGCGACAACTACCTTGAGGTGAGGCAGAGGATGAGAAGGTAGGATGGCCTGAGTCTTGAAGCAGCAGAGACGTACACCTGGTGAGAAGGGCAGTGTCTGGAAGCCAGGTGAGGCTTCCTCACCCTAGGGCTGGGTTGAGAGCAGGCCCAGCCTCCACCAGGGAGGCAGAGGAAGCTCGGTGCTAAGTGAAGGAGAAAGACGGTTGATTTAACAGCAAGTGGAGGAGTTCCAAAAGGCACAGAGGGAAGGCTTGAGGGGGAGTGGGGGAAGGGAGCAGAGTCACAGGCCGGTGACTAACCCTGCACTAGCCCCAGCTCACATCATACCAAACATATTAAAATGTACCCTCAGCCCACAATGAGAATAGCAACTTTTGGGAATTCCCTGGCCAGGGAATTTGGACTGAGTCCAGTGGTTTGGACTCAGCACTTTCACTGCCAGGGGCCCAGGTTCAATCCCTGTTTGGGGAACTAAGATCCCACAAGCACTTTTATTGTACATTTTTGGAAGGATTTGTATACTATTGCTTTTTAACTTATTTAGCAACAAATAACATTTAATTTACATTTGTCCAGGATTTTTCTGCAATTCAGTAGTTCTTGTCTAGTGAGAAAATCAGCCCTGCCGATTATATACATGTGTCAGCGGTATTTTATGAATACCAATTTTAGCAATTAGTAAAGTTGACAACATGTTACATTTCGTACATACTGCATGATGTTTTCATTAACTTTGATTTTGGAGCCATAGATTAACTGTTTCATTTTCATCGGCAGCTGAAAGGCTTGTAGGCCCGAGGCCCTGGATCTCCAAGGCCTGCATTGAAAAGACCCAGCATTGTTGGCTGAGTCTGTGCGAGGATCAACAGAGCATTAGAAACCACAATTTCGCTTCTTCTCGATGACTGAGTCACCACTTGTAGGGCTATTTGCTTCTGAACCATGTGGACACCCTTTTTTATCCTTTGTCCATTATGCTGTCAGCAGTCCCTTCTTGCTGGTAGCGCTTTGCCTCTCCAGTAAACTTCCTGTTTCACCCTTGGCAACTCCCAATTTGTTCTGGTTGGGAAAAGAGATACATGTTTGTTGGAATTGTTTTTAAAGTAAAAGCAAACTCAAAGTGCAGGTCTGAGTCTTTTTGTGGAATGAAGCTCGTGGATTTCAGTACATTAACTTTTGTCTTTATAACAGCTATTTCTCCAGGGCTGAGGTTGCCAAAAGTCTGGCACAATTTGGGGGTTAGACCCTAACCCAATGAGGGAGGTCACCATCCCAGGGGAATCATCACTAGATAAAGGGTAATACCTAGGTCTTTCTTGAGCCTGTCTTACCCAAGAGGATAAAGCATCTCAATTCCAGCCTTCATCTTGGTGATGGACATTGTTCATGTCTTGGCCAGACGAGACGTACAGGAACTTGTATGTTCCATCTATGTTCTGAAGGTATGTAAATTATCTCAAAATCAACTCCAGTTCATCAATCATCTGAAATTTTTTGGATGAGCCACAGGAGAATAAATTAACAAAGCCGTGTATTTTTTTTAACAGCTTTATTGA